GGTCTATAGATAAAAAAGTGGCCACCATGCCCAGACCGTAAAGAACCGCATTAACGTGGGACGCCATAGCGGTGTACTCCTGTTGGTCTCCAATTGACGTTCATGTGAAGAGCAAATTGAGATAAACGACAACAGTTCTCATCAAACACATCCTTCGTGGTGGTCTCAAGAGGTCAAAAAAAAAGAATTTAAAAGAATTTGAAATAAAGAAATCAAAAACAAAATAAATAAGAAAAAACAAAAACAAAAACAACAAACAAATTATGATTATAAAAAATAATAAAAGGTCTACTGCACACCGAGCACGAAAAACNAACCACTCACCATTGCAGCACACGAAGGCATAAAAGAAACAAACATCGCACAAAACAATGACACGATGCTCCCTTTGCTGGCCAGTGCTGAATGTGCTACAGCTGCCGGTCTCTAATATGAGTGCGAAAGTGCGACTCCACAATGGTACTGTGAGTTTCTTATTCTTACCGCTCCTCCCTCTGTAAACCTTTTTAACTTAACTCTAAACAGTATCATCTGAGGTAAACCCCTGGTATTGTTGCTCGCTGGGGTAGCTGTCCGAATCTAGAGAAGGTAAATGAATCATCATAATCCACGAAAACAATATTCACGTCGTAGCACCACAGGAAGTCGCAAATCCTACTGGTGTTTGAATCTGGACGCACGTTAGGCGAAAGCCTGTTTTCGTCCTAGAAACCTGACCTGACCTGACCTGACCTAACGGAGACTTCGACTGGGTTCATGCGAAACTGATGCCTCGGTAAATATACAACTGAAGAAATACAGAGAGAGATTTGGTTGAAACGAAAAGGAGGAGCCTCCAAAGAGAAGCGTTGGCAGAGGAAATGTTCCCCCATGGGCGAAATGAATATCCAAATGAACAATTCCTTTCGTCTTTTGTCGTGAATGGTCACAGAACAATGAATGCCTTGAAGTTTATGCACTCACTTGCGGATTCGGCTCCACTATTGATAACATGTCTGCGGGAATGGGACAGAGTGAGAGATGGCCATCGCGAAGCACCTCCATTTCAACGGTGGCATCGGGATCCGACAACTCACTGTAGTCCACAATCTGTACGAAAACAGCAGTAGGATGAATGTGGCGATGAGCAACGAGTAGAGTAAACCCGCAGATTGTAAATCAGAATCACGACAACGACAATTTTATCCTTGTCATCGAGATTTATTGAACCTGGGTGTTATATAATTGGGCTAGAAACGAATCTAATCACTAAGCACGGAATTGAGGTAAAATGAAGGTTAAAGAAGACTGTCCGCTGATGATCCGAATGAACTCCTCCCGGAAACATGTTTCTTCGGAGTCTGCCAGTTGTCATTCTTGACTTGTGAGTACTTAATTCGATTTGGCTAAAAACGTTTCGATAACCATCCCTGGGAAATATTGAAATATTGATGGGGATGTATGAGACATGCGAATGTGAAATCGTATGTCCGTCCATCCCGACCATTTCGTTCGGAGACGTTTTGTTCCCTCACGCATATCCTTTTATTGTCAGCTTTATCCGTTTACAGTATGCGTAGCCGGTGATGGACAAGCGAAAACAATATGGTAAGGAAAAGTGACTTTGAGCATCAACTTTGAGGCCGATGAACTTTGTTTGATTGCCTAACCAAATAGAGTCCAGTAAAAGCATTGATTTAAAAAATCCACTAAACTATCTTAACTAACAGTATTTCAAAGTGCCTCTCATTGTTTGATTGCAAGTCTCACCAAAGCAATGGGATAACTGTTCAAACTGTGAAACACTGAGTTTAAGATAGACGGGAAGTTGCGTGACAAGTAACCACCCACCATATTTGACTTACTTCAATCAATGGCTGTTTTCCAGGCCGCGTAAATTGAATATCGTAGGCTACTTGAAAACATTGCTTCCGAAAGCTCACAGACACAGGACCCATAGTAGGATGCATATTCAGAACTCGTTCCGTCAATGTCGCACTTTCGTGATTGATTGGAACAGCTGTAATCCAATAATTCAATTCAACAGGCAATTAGATCACCCAAACAATCAATGAACTGGGTAATATGCTTTAAAATAAAGAATCGTATTTTGCACACGAAATGCGTTCTGGTGCACTTCTGCTCCCTTGAAATGTTTCCTAAGGCTGCGTACAAGCAATCTCACCATATGGTATACATGTGTACCGTTTCATCAATTTACCGTGCTAGTACATGGATTTGAAGGCATCGATTGACCATGATTGATTTTATTCCAAAGAATAAGCCTCGGGAATGAAAAGTTTCATTTGGTGAGTCCTGGGATTACACTGGGGGAAAATGCACCCAAACGTTGATAAGAGTGAATCACACATGCAGGCTCCAGCATGGGCCGTTCACTACAGGTTTGTGAACGAAGCTCACGCAGTCTGTGCAAGGAAAACAGGTCAAGAATTTCCACTTTTCACTCAGCGAAATCGGAGCGTGACACACGAATAACGGGTGCAAGGAAAGAACTTATCTATGATGACTCAGAAAGGAGTGCCGGCTTGATTGTGACAATAATTCACAGGTAAACGAACATTTCGAAAGACCCAGGCTGCTGTGTATTTATGGTGAAATATGTAGTGGAATTTCTGAGACAGAAGCGTCGAACTATGACATCCGACTAGCAAAACGAAAAAAATGCATTTAAGTTGCCAATGCTCATGCAACTGAATGTCAATGTTCGCTATGTGCAGTGGCTGCTACAAGCAAGAATGCCTCATTGATATAAAAAGATGAAAACGCTACCCTGAATAACTCAAAGATCCAGGACGGATCGAGCCAATTGGGTCAACAGACGGAAAGCTAAGTAGAGTGAAGTGACACTTGGTGAGGAAAACGTTAACAACCGTGACGAACCCCAGTACTTGTAGCTTGAAATACCGTCTCTACTTCACCTGAGGAACCTTCTATGACAGTTCTGTGACGCTTTCAAGGTTTTAGGTTCCAGAATGCCAGCTCGTAACTTGCGCTTCTCGGAAGGAAAGAAACGACCGATTTGAATAAACATAATTTCAAATGATTTTCTTTCTCTTGTTATTGTAGAAGCTCGACGGAACTACTCAGTTTTCTGCAAAGATACAGTCATCTTACCCTACGTCAGTAGATTATGTTTATTGATACGTAGCACGAAATTCTACATTTGCCTCCCCTCATCACAGTAATTACTTGAACCCCACTGGAAATTTTTATGTTAATCTGTTGAGGTAATCTTTATTCACAAGATAATCCCCAATGTTCTCCACCAATCCAAACCAGTATCCTTGCTGAATGATCTAAACTCAAATTTGAGACGTTCTGAAGTATTTTTATGCCCCAGAGCTGATTTTCAATTCTGAGTAATACAAACCATTGTATGTGATGACCGGGTCGGTTAAGTTTATCATTCGGTTCAGGAATGCCCTAATAGCGTTTGACTTCCTTCAATTCCGCTATCCAGGATAAAATCGACTCCGCTCGTTTCAAATCTTGCAGGAGCCCAGTGGATAGTACCGGGCGTAGGCACACTATCTATAAAATGATGTCATATGTTCGAGTTAACCGGTCACGGGCAAGAAAATAACGGAGCAAAATAACGGAGGCGTATTTTGCGAAACATTTTTCGATAATCGTAGTTAGTTAATTTGTCGAGTGAACTATGAGAATCGTTGCATACTGCTAAGGGAAACAATCTTTTTTCTATTTCACTAGTGGTTTTTATGTTGTTTACGTGGACAATCAGCCTAGATTCTGTGAGTGTGATGGAGGATTTGGTTTGATTGTATGCTGAATTTCGTTGAGTACTGTTAATCGGGAACCGAATAGCTATGAAGCACCGTATGATAGATTCGACCTGGTTGGATCTCACAGGCAGCGCGAAGCCATTTCCCCAACTGAGGATCGAAAGTGAGATTTCACAAGTAGACCGCAAGCATTCTGTCCAATTGATCCGCAGGCAGTTAATTAGGCCGTTTTTCACCGTGCCCATTCACTATGTAACACAACTCATCTTTACAAGAAAGATAGATACCGGTGTCACATTGTCGATCTCAGCACTGATGTCCAGTTTTACAACTAGGATACATTTCGCACCTGAAGGCGATGCTGGCTTAATTTGATTATTTACTTTGATCAACCGCCTGATGATCAAATTAATAGTATGCTTCCACAACACCAGCCGGGTTCCAGGTTCAAATCTCAGATGGGTTGATAGATGCGTACTGCCCAGTTGAACCTAATCAAGTCGGCACAGCGGTACAGAAGGGAAATTACTCAAATTTTCACGTATTCTTGCATTCCTTCGTACTACGCAAAATGCGACGAATAAAAAAACGCAATGAAGCAAATGGAAATCAACTGACGAGGAAATGGAACTCCGTCAAACGCCAGTCGGATTGTGCCCGAAATCGGTTGTCCTTTGGCTTTCTGAATTCGTGTGACTTTATTTCCCAATTTCTCGGGCCAATGGGCACTCCTCAGTTTGATAAAATTGTCCGTTCCGAATTCTTCGTCTGGTTGAGCACGCTTATCCGTGGAATACAGAAACAAAGACCACAAGACCACAATGTAACGCATTGTTTTTTCAGTCACTGCTAACAACTGTATAACAACTGACTTGCTCAGATTAGTTAGTCTGTCAGCAAATCCTTCCAACCATACACATGTTTCATTCTCTCACTCACAAACACACCGCTACATTTTCAAAGGAAGTCATGGAAACTTTGTAAACACTAGGTGATGCGACAATTTCTTCTCCGCATAGATGGAGGCCAGCATGCAACCTATGTATTCCCTCGGGATAGATTCGGTGCAGTTTACCCACCAAGTACGCCGCTCGATCCCGAAAAGATAATGCAGTTTTTATACGTTCTGTTAAGCCAAGTTGCTTCAAATTATCAAAAAATAAAATTGAAATGGATGTCATGAAATGAAGTGTGGGTCACGTTCATAGTTTATTCATTTTTGATGAGCTGAAAGAACCATCTGGATGACGGGTTTTTGAACCACTTGTAAAGCCAATCGATATACGCTTCTAATTTAAGGGTTGATAGTGCCACTCGAGTGTGTGATGGATCTAGTAAACGGGGAATTGGACGTGGAGATGCAGTCTGAATGGCCGGTCGCATTAATGGTCAACTCACTAATGACCCCGGGTAACTGTCCCAAATTTTCTGTTTGTCCTCCAAATAGTTTTCTCTCACAAACACACGGTGAGAACTGGAGGATTTTGAAGGGAACAGTATAAGCGTCGAACTTAGGGGTCTTCATCCACAAACAAATTGTAACTTGCATTTAAAATTGACAGATGTGCTGTTAACTCATATCGAATCAGACCTTACATGCAACTTTTGGCGCATGTCGGCCGCGAAATCTGCTTTAAAGATTTTGGAACAACGACGGACAGAAAGAACATGTCCGAGATATCTGAACAAACTCAATTCGAGAATGCTAGTCGTTCTCAATGAAGCACATGCCTTTTCTACGCGAAGGATACAGGGTTCCGAACCAGACTGACTCTGTTCTGTTTCTCAAAGCCTTTGTTCTTTGTTATTCATATATATATATATATATATATATATATATATCCAATCCTAAATGATCCATACTTACATGGCATGGGATTTTGCGTTCACCAAACTCGAATCTCGAGCTTCCCCATTTCACACAGTTGACTAACTATTCTGATGCATGACGGTGAAGATAAAATCTGAAGAACAGCTAGTCAATTATGTTCATAAAAAGCATTGAGTTCTACGACTCGAACTTACTGTCACTCCGGCAAGCCCAAACCATTGATAGTTGCTTTCACAGTTGGGCGATTTGATCTCAATACTAAATTTCCATAGATCTGTCCATTGCACATTTATTAAGTCAAATCTGTGCAGCGGGAATCGAGGCCAAAGTGCTATGTCTGCGAATTTAAATAGAAACATTGGAAAACGGTTGATATGGAGATCAACACATGACCAGATACACGTGACTTCAATGAAACTCGGTGAATTTGTTGAGGGTTTTTTAATGTTAATTGAGGCAAATCTTTCATCAAAATTAGGCGGGGGGGATAGCATGATTTCAACTTCGTTTGCTGTAGCGCCTTCAAGAGTCG